CGGCTCCCAGCAGCAGGCCGGTGAAGGTCGGCAGGGCGAACTCCCTCGGCTGCGACACATGTTTGCGAGATGGAATCAATATCCATAAGATCCGCGGCGGCACCAGTCACACTTACCGCGGGGAGAGCTTGGAAAGGGACGGAGCCTGCGCAGAGGCAGCGGCGGAAAAACCTCTGAGAGGAATAGTGCTACCAAAAAAAAGCACCATCTGTTCCACTGCTGCTGCTGCTGTTGCAGCCGCTTTTCAAATATTTCTTCTATTTGTTCTGGGATCGAGGAAGAAAATGAGCCATTCTGGGGGTTATTATTTTTTTGGCTTGCTTCGTCTGCTGCTGTGGGAGCCTCACAGGAGGCTGGTAGTCCAGTAACTTGCGTTAACAACAAAGACCAAGTACAGAGGAGGGCACTTAAGACTAAGAAGGAAAGAAAGTTAGTCGCTGTAGATGCACCAAAGCCCCCGTGGCGCCCGGCGCAGGACCTCCTTCTGCTCAGCTCACGCAAAACGCACGCACAACCCCTTCCGCCGCCACCGCGGCTGCCCTGTGCGGCGGGGGCACAGGTAAGCGGGTCAAAATCCTTCAATTTCCCGAGCGCTTCTGCTTTGTACATCCCACCGAAAACATCAGCGCAGTGGCAGTACAGATCTCAGCGCGTCGACGCGCACACACAAACCCTTGGCGCCAACAACGACGACTCAGTGAAGCAAATCGCAGAAGCTGTCTTCATGGGCCACGAGAACATCAGAAATGCTACACTGGGTTAAACCAGAACCGGGACGTACTGAGGACGAGCCAAAATCAGTAAGGGCAACGAAAGGCCCTTCACCATTCAAGTGCCACCAACGCCGTGAAACAGCACCCTCTCACTGCAGATCGCTCTGGGAGCCTGCTGCCTCCGTCGGGAAGGAGGCCGGCGGTGGGACATCTTGAGCGATGGATCCTTCATCGCACCCTGGAAACGCAGGGGCAGAGCTCAGGCCTAGGGAACGCACCGACTCGCCTCGTTTACAAAAACACACACTCAGGAAAACAGAAACGTCGCAGAAACATCCTAGGAAACGTCCCAGGCAAGGCCCTAGCTCCGGTGGAGGATGTTTAAAGAACCTTACAGAAGAGTTAAATGCGGACATGGGAGGGGGAAGGCGGAAAGCTCTGGTGCTTTCTTCTAGAGACGCCTTTGTCAGAGAACGTTAAACGCCTGTAACCTTATACCCGCAGTTTCCATGAGAGCGACAACTGCACCGCCAAGTAATTAAAGTTACACCATCAGGCTAGAGCTCTGGGATTTAGCGGGGTTGCCATCATCTGACAAAGGCTGAGTAGATTTCATACCTCAAAAACAAGGCCAAGAAAATGAAATAACTTTAGTCCTTTAGTGCTCGGTGAAATGCTCTAAGTGGCCTATGAATTGTGCTGTGTGTATTATGTGTTCAGGGCGAAGAGAAGCAATATCATTTGGGAGAGATGGTACATCTGTCTCAGGTATCTGGGGTAAAACAATCCCTGCCTGCCCCACAGCACCCTTGCAAACATAAAACGCAGCGACCGTGCCATTCCCTCTGCGTGCTTCTTAATTCCCACCGACTGCAGAGGCACCTACTGGTATGCAGAGAGAGTGCACTTGCACATCGGTGGGCAAGACACAGGAATCTGAATTGCGAGGAGTTTGGGGGTGTAGGGAAACTCTGAGGCCCTTCATTAGGAGGTCTCTCATTAGGCAGAGGCTGGCTAACGGACAGCTCTGTGTCTAAGGCTTGGGCTGGGGCATGGAGATGGGGGGGGCGGTCACACCTCCATCATCTGGTATGATCACAGGCAAGGCATGTAATTCCTCTGTGCTTCAGTTTTCCCTTCTGCGAAACAGGGGCACCATTCCCCACCTACGCAATTTCAGTAGGCTACCCAAAGGGGCTCAGTTACTGCTGTGACAACACGATGTCCGAATTTAATGGCCACGTCGTACCTAAGCTCAGCGAGGTCACTTACCCTATCACTGGGCATGATCAGATGAGGCAGATTCCTCCCTCTAAGAGGTGAGAGTAGATCCTTGCAGTTCCTGCGAGGACCCGAGTTGAAAGAGGCGTGCAAGCTCCCCGACCTTCCCCGTGCACTGCAAGGAGAGCTGGACTGACACCCCGCTCTGCTAACAGCTTCAGCTTCCCGAGTGTCTACGCCACTACTAGCTCTGCAAACATTATAAGGACGCGTTCTTTAGACAGAGATACTGCCACATTAAAGGACTGAATGTATACAAGAAGGCTTATACTGATAATACAATAAATGACATGTCGCATAGGCATTCGCGGATTTCGCATCTAGAGGAAGCAAGAAATACCATAGAAGCAGAAAATTTTAACGTGATCTCCTCTCTGACCAACGGCCTCTGAAAAGGTCCAGTGGCCTTTTTGACAATTGTTCCAAGTTCCAAATTTATAATATAACCAGGGGAGGCTTACAAGGGGTGAGATCAAAGCTGCAAATATTTCCAATGATCCTATCAAGAAGAGGTTTAAAGAAAACAGAGTCGTCGTGAAATGATCCCTTTTATTTCTAAATCCCCAAACATTGTGTGCATATATGCCTAGAGTATTATGAAAATCATACTTGAAACCCAGATTCAAACTCCATTTCCTAACCACTCATATAAAATTTTCATTACAGATTACTGCCCTGTGGTGGAACAGAGGGCAACTTTATTAGAAGACACAGCACAGCAGTCTAGCAACAGAAGAATGTGCCAGTTGACAGCTACAGATATTCCTCTGTGAGATACGGCAGAATGCTGGAAATGAAACAGATTATATAAAAAAAGTAATTCAGAGCAATTTCTAGTAAAGAGTCAAAGAACCATATAATTCAACATTTATATAGACAAGTCTTCAAGGGAACTCTTAAAAAAGAGACTGGAGGTACTGTTAAGAAACTCTGGCTTGATTCCCCCCCACACACACACTTTTTTTTTTTTAATCAGTCATGCTGGTTTGTACCATATATGGCCTCCAGCAACACACTGCAGGAAATGTCCCCGGCTTTTATTGCCCTTGTTTGATTGCTGCTGCTTCCCCTCTCCTCTTTCTCTCCCCCCACGCTCACGCATTCCCCTCAATTTTCCTTTTACACGGCATTCTACTTGACACGAGGGCAGGCCCTACATTTTCTAATGACTTTTGTCAGCAAGGCAATAATGTCTTTGTGTACAAGCCAAGGATAGGGTATTATCTTGCCCAAATTTGTCCACACGCAATTTTCCTCTTCCTCGTCTTCCCTCCCTCATTTATCGTGCTATAAAAAGAACTTAAAAAGAACAGGAGAAAAGACAATCCTTTTTCTCTGTGATTAATTAAGGCCAGAATGGAACCCCAAGGCATGGAACAGTAAAGATACCTGTATAATTTCCAAGGTGTTGCAGCTGCGACAATGTTCTGCAGCCCTGTGACTTTCCCCCAATGTCGTTTGTCATAATTTGACACTGATAAAGAGCTTCTCCAGTGCTGTGTCTTTGCAAGGGAACATATCCATATCAAAGCTGCTTGAATCATCCTTTTAGAAACTATCTACTGCATTTTTTGGCCTAGTTTTCTTTCAAAACTCAAACTCATGTTCTTTCCTTCTAAAAAGCCCCAAAATACACACGCATACATACCCTCCTCCTTCATCTTCCCCCCTCCCAGCCTCTCCGCTGGTCTGTATCTCTGATGCCCCTCTAGGAGCTAGTGCTTAAAGATTCTTTGGGAAAACGGAAGGGGGGCATTCAGGTTCCACATTTCTCAGCATTACTTCTTTTAAAACTCAGATTAATGAAATTCATCAACCAGAAATATACCCCTACCAGCATTTTAATTAAAGTATGTAGGATGTCTTTGTGGCACCAGAGTAATATTTGCCAATGGTGGGATGCACTCTGTTCTCTGAAAATCTAGCATAACTTCTACTAGCGAAAATCCACTGAGAGAGAGCAGTGTGAGCAGTGCCTTCTGTGAGCTTCACTCTCTGTGAGGCAGTACCAAAAACAGCAGTTTGATGCAGTGGGTAAAATAACTGGGACTGAAGGCCTGAGCAGAACAGTTCTGCGGCCCTCACTAGCCTGGAGCTTTCTCAACGTTATGGTGAATAACCTACAGCTAAACTTCCTTGTAGCTCAATGGAAGACAATGTCAGCATACCAACACTAAAGCAAAGCACTGCATCCCTCATGAGTTACTCGACCGACAGGTCAGCGGACTGCTGTTTACAACAATTTGTATTTCACAGTTGCAGACATTTCTATCCAGCTCACCTGGGCAACATATGATGAGAAAAGAGGAAAGCTCATATGATGAGAAAGTAGCCAATGGTGATTTCTGATCAGGCCAGAAACATTGGACCATATGAACCACTGAAAGAGTTATGGATGCTCTGCAGATAAGATTAATATGCCATAATTATTATTCATCTGCTTACCATCAAACTCCTCTAAAAGGGTCTGCCTGCTTAACCTTGAGATGACAGACGTTCTGGTCTTGTGACCAGAAAGCTGCAGGTGAGTGTCAGGAGATTTGGGTTCTGTTCCCACATGTAGACTAATTCTTCAGCTTCTTTTGGACCCCAACACCTTAATCTGTTAAATAGAACCAATAATGTTTCTGTGGGCTATGAAGGTTCATTCTCAGGCAGTACTCCACAGCTGAGAAAGCTCTTTGGGACACTGCTGCAAGCACGTACGTGGAGCTGCAGCTACTTTTGGGAAAGTGGCTGTGTGAAAACAGCACCTAATTCTTCTCACTACTTCCTCAAGTCACAATGTTCACTTTGTCCAAAAGCAAATACGTACCTCCTCCCAGATGTACTGCAGCTATATAGGAGCAGGTCTGTGCAGCCAGAATATGAGCAATGTAGTTACAGCCATTAGGAAAATCATCTCCTGGTTTGCAAACGGAGAAAATTTGATCTGGAAGACTCTGAAAGAGAATAATAAGAAATTGCAGCAATTTTTTTTATAGAGATGCTTTTCTCTTTATGATGGCACTTTAACAAGAATTAATGAACAGCATTTTCTTGTTTTTGAGAAGTACAGACAGATCAGATAAAGTTACCAATTCATTAGCATCCCATCATGAATGTAGCCTCCGTATTCCCCAGCCATATGGTCAGCACGATACGCTTCCAAAAAACAGGGACATCTACAAAGGCTTTATTACCATCAGCCATCGCATTAAAGTAGCCTGTGGTTACATGGAGATCGGGAACATCTTATTTCTGAATCTTTGGGGTGAAAAGGAACACAACATGGACTTTGGAAGCAAGGTGACTTTGTAAGAAGTGAGTATCTCTTCTACCAGCATTACCACAGACAGTATTTTAATCAGGATCACATCTCAATCCTGAGCAAAATGCAGTCTCCAGAGTGAACACATATCTCTTGGAGCTACCTGGCTGGGTGGGAGACAGAGCATCTGTTTCCATCTTCTACAGATTAATTCCCCATACAACAAATTAAATCTCCCAGTGGGCTGAACTGCGTGTCCAGCAATTAAACATATCTGAGCTGAAACCTTAGCCAGCCATGGAAAATCAAGAGGTTCTCCCCATTTGTACTATGTGCAGACCCAGCAACCACAAACAGCATCTGTGGATAGTATTAGAGGGCCATAAATAGATGTTAAGTGACCATATGCAGCTGCTGAAAGCAGTAATCTGTAAAAGACATTCCTCACTCTCACCAAGGCAGGCACAATGCCGTGTAAACCCAGCAGAAAAAAGCACCCGAAACAATGCAGCTAATAGTAGGGTCCTGAGATTACAGGGGAAAAGGACAATAGCCTGGGAGGCCTTTTATAGGCTTTATTTGAAGAGTAAGAGAATTTACTTTGAAGTGTATTGACTGTGCCAAAGCAACTGTTAACCTCCGCAGATCAGCACACAGAGGGGCCTCCACCACTTGTTACCTCTGCTCAGCCTGAACAGTCACAGCTTCAGGACGCTTCTTTTCTTAAGACACCCCCGGTTGGGATTTCTCATTCCTCGTCACCCCTGGGACCACCTTTCCCCTGTGGTGTGGCTGCCTGTCAGTAAAGTATGGTATGAATCCTCCTTTTTTAGTACTTGGGACCATTAAGTATCAGAGTTCCCATAAAAATAGACACTAGCTTCTTTGTCAGTTGCCTCAGTGTCCCTGAAATCTCAGTCCCTGCCTCTGAATTGACTGATGATACAAGTGAAGGACTGGAGCCATCCGTAAATAAGATTTCCCACTGAACTTAGCCAGTGCACTGCCTGTTTAACTTCTTTCTCCAAGAAGTCACAAAATGCCTGGTTGACAAGTGGACAACAATAAAAAATCAGGCCATAGGCACAAATCAGCATCCCTGAAATCTGCTTCCAGACCCCCAGCACATGAGTGTGTTTTCTAACAAGCAAATGACTTGTTCCTTATTCTGAAGCTCCGTTTGCAGTTCAGTAAGACACAGCGGGAGGGTTTGTGCTCCTTCTGCATTAGCTGACCTGTGTCAGCATTTTATTCTGCAGCCCTGTAGGTTTTCTAGTTTAAAAAAAAAAAAGAAAGGAAAAACAGAGGAGTTTTCAAAGTCTTAATGGCTTTGAAAACAACATGGAGAGTTCTCTTTACTGCAGAAGAGGTTAATGATCTCCCTGTGCTACAGAACTAAACTGAACATCATAATAAATAATCATAGTAAGATATAAAGTATCATCTGGAGTCATACAATATAAGGAACAAGTAGGAGTTATGATGTATTTCCGTTACTGAGAGCAACTGCTAGGCGTGAGATTTTCAAAGTAGAGGTAGGCAATTAAAAAAAGAAAAGTAAAAATCAACTATGAAAATATTATTTAAATAGAAAGAGATTATATCTTGTCCTGCCTAGAAGGACCAAATACTCTGATTCCTGACTAGAATGCAGCACTGAAGCTCTAAGTTCCTCTTTCCTCATCTCTGTTTTTCTCCCTGCAGCCTACGCTAAAAAGTCAGAAGTGCAATTCCATGCAAACCTGCCACTGAAGCCCACTGTGGTCTTGAAGGACCCATCTGGGTCCTTCAAGCTGGGCACAGCCTGAGCCAAGCGGCTCCTTGGTGCCTGTCTCAGCTGAGAGTTTCAAGTACCACTGAGCTATACCTTCAGGTAGAGAAGAAGCAATGTCAGTGCAGCCTCCACTAGCTGCGAGGGGGTGCTCTGCCTGGGAGCCATCTCCCTCGTCTTTTTTGCAAGTATGCACTGGAGGTAATTCAGGGACAGGCAGGGCTAACTGCTGCTTGGGCTCTCAGCATGACATAGATTTGCATACAGCAGCTCTAATTTTCTAGAGAAATACTCCCGGGTTCTGGAAAAGTTAGGCACTGCTCTTCGTAAACGTTGAATCGCTTGGTTCCCCCAACGCGCTGTATGGGCAGCATTTCCCACTGGCCTGTATCTCACACACGCTTTGAAGATAAAAGAAGGAAACTCTTGCGGCTTATTTCTGAGCTACTCACTGGCAGGGGCCAGTATCTTCATGTCAAAACAGCACCATGATCTAATATTGCTCCCAGATCATTACAGAGCTAGTAACAATACTAATTTTCTGAAGTGACTCATGCAGTGAAGTGCTTCTGTGTCTGCGATCTAACTGCACACATTTTAGAGGGCCTGCTTTTCAAAGGGCAACCAGGCCCTCTCAGACAGGTCTCTAGCTAGGCACCAACAATTACTACTCATTTTAGCAAAGGTAGCCCCTTTTATTTCTCTTTCTGCTCTTTTTATTTCTTTGCCTCTGTCAGCTTCATAGTTCTGTCCCTCTCCGCACACTGCCTCCTGCATCTTCATCCCTCAGGGGACTCTTAAGAGCTCACTTCGCACTGCATAACACATACTATGGCCTGTTCCCCCACAAGAGCTTCCATTCCTGACCTTGGACTCCTATTGTACAGCAAAGAAAACCAGAATTTGAAAAGTTGTTGGCCAAACAAAATAGTTCATGGGATTTTCATGAGATGTCTTTCTTCTTTCTCCAGGCTATTGCAAGTGGACAGTGCAGTCAGAGATAGGACTGCTGTCCCTGACACCCTTGAAGCAGATTATGTTGCTTAGCTTAGGTACGAACAGCAACGCAACCATGACTTGCTGAAAGATGTGTTGCTGGGGTTTCATTATTATCAGCTCAGCTCTGCTATATTAACACTGCTGCAGCTGTACCTCTAACAGCAATGCAGACATAACTTGGGTCTCTTTTAGGTGGTTCTTAATCTCCTTGTTCACCAAGCACCAAGCAATTCTGTGAGGAACGGAGCAGCCTCAACTCATGTCACAAGATGAGGTTCTTCTAGTGCAAGCTCTCTCCAGCAAGACCTGTGGAGTGCCAGTGGTCAGAACAGACAGCATTAATTAAGCAGTGATGTTATGAATGATGCTGCCCTTGCTGCTTTCCCAGTGGTCCTTGCTTTAATACAACTGCTCTTTGAGATGCAACAACCCTGACGAAATTTCCACACGCAAGTTTTATTCTGGCACATCCAAAAGGACATCTGCATTCATAGGGGTGTAGGAGAGTAATTTCCAATCGTGTATGCAAATAAATCTTGTAGGAGAATCCTTGTTTGGGTTCATAAAGTTCAGAAATGCATTACTTAGGCTCCAGGGCAAAGTGCAAGCTTCTCTGCCCCACCACTAAGCTAGAGGCAAATGTTGTTTAGCCATTTGCAAAGCCTGAGGCAAGATGCTGGGTATTTGGACTCTAGCAGAAAGCCGGGTTTGAGCATTGACAATAAAAATTACATCAGAAACATCAACTGAAGCACTCAGGAGCAATACGACCTTAAAAACCTCAGTACAAGTCAGAGGTGACCACGGAGTTGCCACAACCCTGCCAGTTCCAACATGCACACAAAAAGGGAGGCAGGAATCAATCTGTCACAGGAGGCAGAAGGTGCCCCTTTTGCTTCCCAGCACGTTGTTTGCAAGGCGGAGGGGCACGTTGTTTGCAAGGCGGAGGGGGTCAGAGTTCGTATCAAATGGCATTAATCACCTTCCCAAAGGCTCTGCGTGCATTGGACAGTTCTATTAATCAGAGGCGTATCAGCCCTCCAGCCTGGTCAGGGCCCCTTTGTCCCGGGCCCTACCTATCATAGACAGATAAGATTATCAGTGACGAGTGAGACACCCATTGAGTAACACTGAAATCGAAGAATGGGGATTTTTTTTTTTATTTATCCTCCTGTCTCAAAGATGAGCTGTTTCTTGTCTTGTCAAACCACATCCTTTTCTTTAAAGAATCAGCTTTAAGAATCCAATTTGTCAGGCTGGACAATCATTTGAGAATCCATAAAAAGCCTTGGTGACTTTATCAAAAAAAATAAATCAGAAGGTTTTAAATGGTAACTGAAAGGGATTTGAAAATAGGTTGAGTGGCCTACATCAATTAATCTTCAGAGAGCCAGGGCTTTGTGAAGATGAAGTGGCAGAGAAGTGTCAAAGGCTAGTTACTGGGTTTTAGGAGACAGAAGTTATTGATATTTTTCCTTTCCTTTTTCTGTCTTTTCTTCTTTCTCTGTCTCATCAGAACACAGATGGTAAAGTAATATCCTCTGCTATGGAACGGTGCAAACTTAAAACGAGGTAAACGTGAAGGGTCTCTATTTTCTGGTAGGGCTTTTTGTGGTCATTCACAATGTCATCTACCTGGGGTGGTCTAACCTCTTCCTCCCACCTTGGTTTCTGTTTCCTCACAGTAAAAGTAACAACACTTACCTCAGGGTATCTGTTATCACATTTGATACAGACTCAAGGTCAACAGTCAGAAGGAGACTTCAAATACTTCAAATCCGAGGAGGGGACGCTGGCAATGGAAGAAGGGGAGGAGCTTGGTGGGAGAGCATGCTAAAAAAATATTTGTACTTACCCCTGGAGAGGAGCATGGCTGGAACATGACCCCGTGCATCTCACAAGCCTAGGACAAACGGCAAGGTGGCGTCAGCTTCTCTCCAGTGGTGTTGGCTGGCAAAGCAGGAGGCCTGTCCTCTCCCAAGGAGGGCCTTTGCCCTTCCCATGCTCCGAACCCCGCCGCAGGAGTGCAAAGCAGTTGTTCTAGCCCGGCTGGAAGTAGCAGGGGAACTATGGCTACTTGTGACTCTGAAGGGACATTCAGGGACAGAGTTAAGGCCGTTCCTGCAAAAGCACATTTCTCTTGGTTACTCATGGTGTGTCCAAGTGTTGGCAGCCTTGTGTGTCAAAGCAGAAGGGACAGGGACAGAAATGAAAGAATACTCGGCTGCACTGGTTCTTTCACTGGATCTTTGGATGGTCCTTCAGGTATAAACGCAGCTGCTGTCCTTCATCATTAACCTTTATCCCAGGCACCTGTGGGATGAAACTGCCCAAGCTTCAGATTTCTGTGGGGGTACAGAGTGGCAAACTGCCCAGCAGCTCCCTATTAGATGTTGGGAGGAACATGAGGCATGCCGCGCGTTAATACTGCTTTGTCCCTGGAACGTCCCCAAACACTTCTCCCACTGCGAGGAAGTAAACAAGTGTTCTCAGAGCGCAGCCTATGCTTTCTGAAGACAAGTTTGGCACCATCAAAATGTAACTGAATAGCTGATCCTCTTTGGATTAACAGAAGCATTTGGAAAACGCTCCCTTCTTGTCACATACTGGGAAGCTGAAGCCCAGAAAAGCTGCAGATTTGTCCAAGAAAGTTGCGGGGCTCAGTCTTGCACATTCGTTTGTGCCTTAGCCACTCACCCACATCAAGGCTGCCCAAACCCATCTCCTGCTTCTGTGCTTTCAAACTCAAGTCCTTAAGGCAAAGGGCCTGGCACTACCTACTCAACACCATTTCTTAGCCACCTGTTTATGCTGCAAATACTCAACCAGTTTATCCTCGAGATACCTTGTTAGTTCGGTTATGGAAGGCAGAGCAGAGCTGACACAGACACTTTAAAGCAGCTACGGATTCCTAAGGTACTTTATGAAACCTGACAATCCAGCCATTCTCCATTACATGCCTTTCGTTTAGCTCCTAGTTGAAGAGGGAGGAGAGAAAGGGAGAAAAAGATAAATAGCTTCAGTTAAAACCTGGGGCCTGAGCAAAGTGTTGAAAACGTAAAGAAGGACCTCAGGGCTTACAAAACAAAATGAAGAACTTGGTAAATGAGGTATTTGACTGAACATATACAGTCATCTGAAATAGCAATGGATTTCCCCAAATGCTTAACAAAAGCTGACAGCCCATATTGTGCTTCGCTTTCCAGTTATGCTGCCACCCCAAGAAATGCATGGCCAAGGGACTGGAAACCTACCGTAAAGGCGCTGAGACCCAAGAAACACAATCAAGAATTAGAGGGACTTAGGGGACACAAGGATGAAAACAAGCAAGTGGTGAATAAAAAAAAAAAAGACCTTGGGAGCAATAAAAACACCAGGTTTAGAGAAGGGACATGCTGCTGCTCTCCGATACTGATAGCAGAATGCAGTGAGCTCCAGATGGCTTTTTGTTTTAGTGCAATAAAAAATTTAATCTGACAGGCAAGTGTGGGGCTGTATAATAATAACAACACAAACAATTTCCTTAAAAAAATAAAAGGGATCTAACAACTCAAAGGTATTCTTGTATGCTGCAAAGAAAAGAGACTATTTGTTACTTACTGCAGTTGTGAGCATGTTCACAAGCTTTAAAATGGTATTTTGTTGCAGAAGTATAATATAAGGACATTTTACTTGCTTTCCAGTCTGGGGAAACGGAACTGACTTGGAAATTGGCCAGAAATGCTGTAAGTTAGGGCTCTGAAGTGAAGGTGATAACTTTGCCAATTAAATATGGATGTGATTTTTTTTTCCCTCTCCTTCCCCTGCATACTTCTGCACTGTCATTAGGTGATGATATAAAGACATAGGCCTCCTGGTACAGCCTAATTGCTCATATACAGAAAAATGATGAGCTCTGTTGCATTGCAGAAGTACTGCCTCGGATACTTGCTGCCTTATTAATAGGTGACGCCAACTCCAGTTTAATTCCTCTGCCCAGGGAAAATCAGAAACATCACAAAAGCCCAGTTCAGCAAAGTACTTCAACGCATGCTAGACTGCTTTGCTGAACAGCAACAAACTTAAGAGCAAGCTTACATTTAATCACATGGTTAAAGTATTTTTTTCAATTGGTGCTTGGTGTACCTGAAAAAAGCAGGACTTCTATTAAACGACTTCATATTTCCATATAATTTATTTTTCTTTTTTACTTTTATTTTTCTTTTTTCTATTTTTCTTTTTTTCTTTACATAGTAAAGATGATCCTGTATTTTAAAATCTACTGCTGCATGATTTTTAGTCCAAGTTGAAATCTGAGTAAGCTAAGGACAAAAAAAGATGTTGTGTTAGCATGGATCTCAACACTTGAGATCCGAATTCCCCTGATGGTCAAGAAGTATTCTAGCTAAGTTTAGGGGCAAATGCTGCAGCCCAGGCCCTTTGCTACTGCAATGAAAGGCTTAATAAGTATGCCCTCCCTGCCTGGTTAAGTGAGGGTGAAGGCGAGCTTGCCCAGGTGTGGGTGAGCACACAGCAGAGCCTGATGCATGCTGCAGTGCCTCCAAAGATGCTGCGATACCCTGCTGCTGCTGCTAGGGCTGGCGGGGCACGCGACAGGGCTCCTTCTGCCACACTAACCTGAGACACTGGCGAGCCGCTCCCGGGGCGCAGCGGAAGACGTGCCTGTCCTCCACACGCGTGGGCAGTGGAAAGGCTGTCAGTCCTCGAGTGATCAGCTCACCTCCTCGCAGCACCAGAGTTGCAGCGTGAACAAAATTAGCACTTGAGCCTTAGATGAGCTGAACTGGGTGGAAGCTGAGAGTGGTCTTGGCGGCGGGAGGGTGGCAGAAAAGGTCAAAGCCGAGGAATAGCCTGCGGGAAGGGACTGGAGCTTGGAGAGCAATGGGCTGCGGCAGCTCGGGACTGCCTTATCGGGAGGGACAGACTTGCATCCAGAGACCAGCAGGAAAGACTCTCTGGAGCAGAGAAAACCTTCAGTGTGGGGGACGAGACACCCAGGGATTTGTTGCCCAGAGAAAACCAGGAAAGAACAGGAAGACGCACAACATGGTGAACTGGGAGGGTCAGAGCCTGAATGGGCAAAGGATACTGTCCTTCACAATAATACATTCAGCCTTCAGGAGGGCAGTATCACTCTATATCAGCAGTTTTCAATCTTTACTCCCCCAGGAGCCAATAGCTCTCTTCTAAGATGACTAAAAACCCACATTGGTATCTATCTGCTTTGAAACAGTCCTTGTAGGCGAAGCCTTTTAAAGGGATTGAGTCCCCCGGAAAATGGGAAGGGCCACATCTGGAAAGAGCTGGAACGCCTCCGTTCTATGCGCTCCGTGCTGCAGCTAAACCACTGGAAGAACCAGGTGAGATGTTCTCTGACGAGAGGGACTAAGAAGCATGACTCTGCACTGGGGCTTACAGCTGTCTGTTCTTCTCTCTCTCAAATATGCCTCAGTGCAAACCCCTCAGCACTGGCTTCTGAGAGTAAAAGGATTTTAAATAGTTTGTTAAAACCTATCATTCAAGAACTAGGAATCAGTCAGTTGCCCCATCTTGTGTCTCCCTGCCTGCCTCCCTTCCATGCCAGTGGTGCTCGTTTAGCCCCATCTGAGGCAAACTTCCAAGGGACTGAGGCCGGCATCATTCTTTTATGAATTGGCAACTATCAGGCTTCCTTGTCCTCTCTCCTATCCACATGCAAGCTGAGCTGGGACTGGCACTGAGTGCAAACTGGGGTAGAATTCTATCCCTTTTTATATCAGGCAACGGCTGATTCCTACAAAGCTGACAGGCACATGTTTAGAAAGCCACACTGCAGGATGCAGGGGATTTGCATTTGCATTCACCAGGGCTCTAAAGGCTGAGTTTCATTCCCAAATAACTTGTGGTTAGCATGGAAGAGAGTGGAACAAGGAAGAGAGGCTGTGACTAAATTGACGGCAACAGAAAAAGCAGGATGTACAAATGGCTTGAGAAAAGGCATGATGAGATGTGACTGCACTGGGTCCTGGGACTGGAAAGAGTAAAATGGGAAAAGACCACCTGGACGAAGAGAAAGTGCTTCTGATTGCTCAGTAAAAAATGGAGTTAAAGATCATTGGAACGGACAAGGCAATCTGGTGGCGGCACAGAGCTTTGATTGCCTCTAACGTGATGGAAGGGAGCAGAAAAAACAAGCGTTTGGTTAGTTGCATCCACTTTCTAAGGACTTTCTTCAACTGTGAGCTCACTGGGGCAGAGGCTTTGTCTGCTGTTTGCTGTACAGCATTTGCTGTCTCTTGAAAACTAGCACTCCTGGACAGCCCAGGCAAGGCATAGGAGGGAAAAAGATCATGCAATAGAAAGAGGACTAAGGGGGCAAAAGTGAGTTTGCCCTGGCAGATTTTTTTTTATACGCTCCTTTCTTCCTTTCTGTCAGTAACGAAGCTGTCTGCTGTTTAAATGAAGCTATTCGTGAGCTTCAGAAGGCATTAAACAAATGTAAGATGTAATTTCACAGAGTGAATGACCTCCAGCTCCTCAGTTACAGAAATCATCCCAAGGACCTCCCAGACAACCCTGCCAGCAAAGGCGTAACAGACCCTCTCTACTGCCAGACCGTCACCAACTCAGGGCCCTGCAAGCCAGAGGGGAGAAGACGTGCAGGCACAAGGCTCCTACCATGTCATTTCTGGTGCGTGCAGGCAGCGACAGCCCCAACAATGAGAGCACGCTGTAGTTTTGCCAGCTCCCCTGCTTGCCCGCTATGTGCCAGGAAGCTCAGAACAAAGTTACTCATTGTGAGACAGCCAAGGGCCACCCAGACTAATGGAGAGGGCGATGCACCTGCATGTAAAGCTTCCTGACTCTACTTGGGAAGTAGAAGTGAACAAATCATTATGGGGAAACACCCACCCAAGTGTAAATCAAAGCTTAGGATTTGGGGACTGACCCTTGCTCCCTACGTTAATGGCTATTTACTATTCCAGTGTAGCTCACACACATCTTTTGCAGTGACTGGCTCATTTAGCACTGGGGCAGAACTTGGCCGTTGTAACTGCTGACTAGAGCAGAGAAGCTTGCATAGCCTGGGCCAGATAGTCAGCTGGCAGAAAGCTATGCAGTTCCACCAAAATCCTTCCATCTACATCTATTCATGCAAACAGGAGATTTGGCTCCACGAGCCTGGGCGAATGGAAGCCGCAAAACAGAAAAACTATACACTCTGCAGTGAAGGAAGGAGGGCTGCAGCATGGGAAATACAGAACACCTACAGGATTTCACTGCAGAAACCTGTCAGCATGCAGGTTACTCCTCTTTCAGGCTGGTCATGAATGCTACCACTTCCTGCTCCGATCAAACTCTCCAGCGCCTGTCACTTACAGAGGGCTATTTTTGCCAGGATGTGTATATAAGCCACATTTGGTATGCATCCCTCACTCTTCCTCCAGTCTGAGGATCTTAACCCCAAGTGAACGCTGCTTTGTATCCCGGGAGTCACTAAGTGTACTCTGGGCTTTGAATTCACACATCCAAAGATTTTCTAAAGGTTACGCAAAGGTTAACAAACAATTAATATGTTGGATCAGCATGCTAGCTCTGTTTGCCTAATTTCTGAAGTATAAAGGCTATCAGGCAGCTCAACAGCATGGCTTGAAAGGCTCCAGTTCCCTCAGTGCATTTATACTGATACTTCATTCTTCAACCATATTCCAACACGTAGGGTAATTTCAGTGAGGAAGATAACAAGAAATAATGATGTATCAATTTCTTCTATCTTGGACATTTTTAGGTTGTCTCATCTCCAAAACGATCCAATTTAAGCATTTTGCATGATGACCTGCTAGGCTCTGTAACAGTGGCAGACAGATGGATGTTTTTGTATTCAAACAATTCTTTTTATATTGTTAGATAGGCTGATACCCCAGTGACCGGCTTAGTTTAAATTCATGGATTGACCTAGTCTTCTTTAACTAATCTGTCTAAAAATCCTCCAAACTCTTTAGTTTCAACATTCTCACTGGAAGTAGAGCTCCAGGAAGATGAAGTATTGAGTCTGCCTTGGGTTACTGAACAAATCAGATGTAGAGGCAGAATCAGGAGCCTGAATTCAGTCTCCTACTGGCTTTAGGGTAAACATTATGTCCAATAAATGCAGAGACAGCCAGTTTCAAAACAGACATAATATATATTTTTTTCAAATGTCCCTTCTCGTGTTATTAATTACATCTCGGATTACTAAACACAATCAAATTATGATGATTTCTTTCCCAACATTGTAAGCCCATTGTCTCCTCCTATTCCCTTTCACTCATGAGCTTCATTATTCTTTCTAGACAATTTCACTTTCAGGCTTCTCATGTATGAGCACAGTTTTTCAGCTCCCAGCATTTAGATCCACCAAATCTATTCTCACTGAAACTAAAAATGTTTCATGAACTCTTTTATTTATACTACAATTTCAAAATTCTAAATATTGAATTTAATAGTATGAACAGCATTACTATCACTGCTTCAAAATTAAAAGGGCCAAAAGAAAAAAACATTCTAAAATGTTTTCACCTTGGCATTTATATTTTGAAGGATATTTTAAAGAAACAGAACATAATCTTGGTCCAGCTGAAGTTCATGAAGATTTTATAATGTACTTGAATGAGAAAGAACAAGCTGGTATTGGAATGGAAATTCCCTCCAGAAATGAAAGGGAGCAGAGTTTGCTATGACATTAAGATCATGTAACTTACTCTTCAAATCATCCCAGATGTCCCAAGGAGGGTGGGCTGCCTGTCTTGGTCATAATTTTTGAGGTCCTGCGATGAGAAAATAAAGAATTGTTAGCAGCAAGAGATGGAGACCAAGAAACCATTGCTTATGCCAAGAAATTGCAAAAGCATATATACCGTTTTAAAGCTGCCGTACTGATGGGCCCTACTGTAAAGCCACACATGAAGTACATTGAGAAGCAGCTGTAGCACTAAGGAGACAATCCCAAAGAAAGGGCAAAAACGCCATTAGGACCACAATGGTCACAAAAACTATATGTGGAAGGATACCACAGATATCCTTGGAAAGGCAAACTGGATCTCAGCCCGGACAAATTTGTCTTCCCTCCCAGGAGATGATACGGGAGAGAGCCTGGATTTCCTCCTTCCAGTGGGTTTTAGAGCCTGTGAAAGCCATGTGAAAGGAGAGCGGGATTGTGAGGCAGCAACAAAAAGGAAAGGCTGAATATGAAAGTTTGCAAACATCTGACAATCAGCACAGTAGAAAATTAAAACCGATCTAGATGGCAGCAGATGGCCCATAGGAATATATCAAGCTTTGTCTGACTTGATTAGTGCTCAGTCAATGGAATTTTTACATGTGGCAAAGGTACCTATTCTTTAGATATTACAGCCAGTTGATAAAGCTACATATTGAAGTTGAATAAGTGTGGTTTCCTTTCAACACTGCTTGCTAACATCTAAAATTCACGGGTACTAATACATACTAAAAGTCTGAGCCACTCCCCACGCTTTGACCACCCTTGTGAGATTCCATAATGGTTATTATTTATTATATCTATCTGATCATGTCTAGGGAGCAAAGTGCTGCACAAATAAACAGTCTCTGCTGTGAAGAGGTCATACTGGACAAGCCATTCAAAGGGCTTGGAAGAAGGTATAAAACGCGTACCTGGAGGGAACAGGACAACGGTCTGCAGACGCTGTGCTAGCACAGTGATGGCAGTGAGGGTTTGCTCATCTGCACCTTGGGGTAGTGGGAGGAGATGAGTTAAGGGAGGGAAAACTAGCAGGGAAGGTGAGCTAGAACCTGAGGACACCGAGCCCAGAGGGCCAGTTTAGTACATGAGAGGCTATCCCAAAGACCTGGCCAGATGTGGAGCATATGTTTCCCCAGTCCTGGACTGCAGGTGGCTTTCCTGGTTGATAGCTAGCCCTTAACCACAAGAAGAGTGCTGTGTCACAGTCTCAGGGTGAGATAAGCTCCACCACAGCTGGCTTCAACACTGCAACCAACACGGAAAAGCCATCAGGAACTGCTCAGCAGAGACCAAAGGAGAGACGGTAGGATAAACCTGCCGTGGGCAGCAAGCTCCCTCCTGCTGCCACGGCCCCCCAGGCAGGGCAGGGAGGGGGCAGGCACAGCCCTTGTTCCTGCTCGCTGTCTGCAGCTGTGCTCCCGCAAGGGCTGTGAAAAGATGTCTTGGAGAGACGAATCTTGGGATTTGACCCAATCTTGAGTCCCAAATCTTGGGAAAAACACAGCTCACCTCAATAACAGTGATTGTTTCTCCACCCCGAGACAATCTTGACTGAGATAGAAAGAAAAACAAACAGCAGCAGAAAGAGGAAAACTTTCTGTCCCTTCCTGCTAATTATAATCCTATTTTGTACCGAGAACCTGTCATTCAGTTTCCTTTAATGGTTAGTTTCTATTTCAATTCTTCCTCCACCCTATTATCTTTTATAATATTCAGTCCAGCTGGGTGATGGATTGATAAAGGACCATCCTGCCGGGAGCTGCCTTGCTCAGAATGGCTGTCACGTGCACCTAACTTCTATATCTTTTTAAATATTTCAGTTGTTTGAGATCTTTATTTCACATTTCGATTTCCTGTAGTACAGTAAATTTATCTTAGTCACTCAGTCAAGTTCTCTCCCAGCTCTTCCTTCCCCTTATCTTTTCTTCCGCTGTACAACTGAAAACACCTACATTATCTTTGCTGCCGATAAACCCAACTGGTGGTAATCCACAGATCATTTTGATAGGATGGCATCCAAGTCAAAAGGAGAACTTTGAAGTACTGCGCTTGTCATCAGCTGAAAGTTCGTTGTTTAAACCCAGCACCTACTTCTTTCAAGGTGAAATGTATTTTACACTCTAGTGAAGTAGAAATGTTCTTGGATGCCTGCTGACCTAAGGTGGCACTTCCATGGTCCACAGAAAATTTGTAAGGATGGGTTTATTTATTTCTTTCAGTCCTCTGTCTGCCCAGGTCTAATATTACCATTTTAGCTAAGGGTGTAAAATGCGTTAGTGATGCAGCCTCTGAACATCCCTCTGAGAGGGGAAGCTGACTGAAACCCAAGAGATTAAGTAGCTTGCCAAAGTCACACAGGAAGCCCATGGTGCAGCCAAAAACTGAACTCAGATCGTCTAATCCTAGTGCAGCACCTGAACCAGAAAACATCCCTCTGCTCAAAGTACCAAAAGCAGTCCTGAAATACACTGGATTTCTGCGATGGGTTCCTGTTGACTTCCCATTAATTCCACCAATAATATCAGAACTAGGCAGACAGACGCCTTAGGCCAAATCTTGACAGCCATTATTTTCCACACCAGAAAGGGGTTTTTATGTCTTGAGTTTCCCCTGGGTGTGACTCACCACAGGGAAAATGCTCATTAAACCAGTGTATCCCACCAATATTCCTCCACTTCGAACACAAGTCTTGCCATAGGCATGCTGCTGGTGATCCTGAACCCCAGCCCAAACTCATTCACATTTCTTTTTTCCATACTTATCCACTATTAAATCACTCTCAGCTTTCCTACAGCTCCCCTTTTCCGCAGACCAATATAACCCAGCGAGCTCGGGCAGACAGCCACGGCTGGGGCAGGGGAGGGACAGGAGAACATCCGTTCCCAAGGGAGCAGGCTCGCGTCGGGGGGCCTGTGGCTTGTGGCTCAGCCCTGGCAGACTCCTCATTCTCCTGCTCTTTCTGAGGCCTGCTCCCTCTTTTTGCTTTGCCCCACACCCTTCCTCGGTCAGAGCCCTGGGACCCACACATGGGACCTCCCATCTTCCCCACAGGCTGCATTTCCATCAGCACAAGGTGAAAAAATACCTTGATATAAGAAGATCATTCCTCATTCTGCCTCGGATGACGGTTTGAGAGACGACTAGTATCATCTCCTCCCAGGAGTTTGTGATCCATGCTTTGCCCTTGAACGCTGCTCAGCAGCATTCAGTGCAGCAAAAGTGGCGCTCGCTGGATCACTTGTTTCACACGTGCAACCGGCTGGTCTCTGCCCATACAGGCTCCTAACGCGGAGCATGCGGTGCAGCTAGAAGGGGCTGGGCTCTGATGGCTGAGGCTGCTGATGAAGATGGGAGCAAGGAGAACATCCCCCTGTCCAGCTTTTGCCCTTGGTTGCCCGTGGCAGACTGAGGACCTGAAAGCATTTTTCCATTAGGTGAAAAGTTTCCTCACACTTCCTGCAGTACGCTCCCTCCCCTGTTCTCTCTGCTGCCAGTCAGTTATGCTCATTCTGTGCACACAGCCGCGGTCCCACACCTGTCCAAGCGATGCTACCTTATTGATCATCTCAGTGATTTGCACTCAGTTTAAGCAACTGAACAATCCGACCTGCACCTCTTGAGCTACGCTTGAACTTCACCCATAGCCTCTGACAGTTTAAACTGAATAAAAAAAATAAGCTCACAGCAGATCACAAATAGAAAGAAGAGGTTACTGCAGACAGATAGGCAGCCAGTAAAATCACCAAGGAACATGAATAGCATGCATTTATGCTCTCATAAATCCAGTCCTAGGTACTTTCGGATCTAGAACAGGGCCTAGCTTGGAGGGAGAGTTGCTGATGTCATCTAGATTTTTGGAAAAAAAATCTGGTAGATGAAAGTCTGATCAAACCTGGGTGCAGTTTTGGCTTTCAAAAGCCAAAGCATGCTTTGCCATCTTTACTTCTATGAGCAGCTGCCTTTTGTGTGCCATCACTTCTGCTCCTGGATGCAACAGGAAGCAAGAAGAAACTTAACACAAAATTGTTTGTACTACATGCAGGGGATGATAGCGAATAACTGCATTTTGGCTATATCCACTCTGTTACTGTCATAATTCCAGCATCTAACACTACCGAGCATTACTGCCATTATTTTAATAAATCTTTATTGTCTTCCTGGGAAGAGCGAAGCAGAGGCTAAATTGCTATTACCTACTGAAGACCAGAGAAAATAAGCGACTTACCTAATCTCACAAAAGACCTTGGTAGCAGAGTTGGAAGCTGAACTGAAAACAGACCTCCTCTCTCTCACTCCAGTGTCCCAAACCCTTCAAGAGAAAGGCAGAAATCAAGGGGCTATCTGCCTTCACGGTATATATAAGCTGAGGTAACCTTGCTGGAAAAGTTTTAGTCTATTCTTCTCCGGTTTATTAAACTCTGCTTTTGTATGAGAGGAAAAAAATAATTTGAAAGGAGTTCAAAAAATAATGAGACGTGCTCTCATGTTTACCTCTCTCTGAAAGTCCACCTGGATTTAAAGGGAGCCACGCTCACTCAACAGGAAGGTCAATGTCAGCTGGATTTCTTCTTCTTTTCTCTTCCACCGGGTGCAATTCGCACATCTCAGCCCTACAGTGGGAACTGGCTAGGGGCTTTCCTGCAAATTTCACTGCATGGACCTGGCAGGAAGCAAAAGACTTTCCCTCATCCTTAAGCACTTCAATATCATTTTCTTCCCCTACTAAATGAGATGCCTAAGGCTGAACGTGAATTTGCAGCAGGGTTGAAGAGAAAGGGACTGGCCTGGAGAGTAAGGGAGTTAAATACAGCTCTTTGGATAGGGCTGCTGGACAGACAACAGGCACACGCAGCAGGGACAGAGGGAGGCATTTTGCCAGTGTGCAGTTGTGAGGGCTTAATGATTCCAACCACAAATGGTTAATTTTCATCAGTAGCCTCTGATCTTGCACTGCCAAATTACTGCACAGGGCAAACAGTGTGGGTTAATTGTATAGCACTTATGTGTCTGTGCCTACAAATCAAGACTTCAGAGGCTATAAAAATG